GTGTGTGTGTGTGTGTGTGTGTGTGTGTGCGTGCGTGTGCGTATGCGTATGCGTGCACGCTCTCGACATGTAGGTGACACCATGTTTGCCAGGTTCACTCTTGTCTTAATTATCCAACAGTATGAATGCCACATCTCTGGAAAATGTTCAGCTCTCATTAGCATCGGTGTTATCACACTAATTGTGCCACAGAGGGGAAATCTTGCTGCAGCCTGAGTGAGAGGTGGAGTGGGGGGGTTGTTAGAAGTGCAGGGTAGGTGGAAGTATTACTGTATGTGTCTCACTCGCAGCCAACGCATGTGAAGTCTTCAGCTGTGGTGTCATTCTAAAGGTGGAAAGAGGATTGTGAAATGTTTGGATTCACCACCCAAATTGTAAGTCATTATATTCATTAGATTTTACCGTCACTGCTGCTGTAAATGATAAGTAATGACTGCACCACTTCATGTGATCTTATAAACTTTTGATGGTGGAATCTTGTTAAAGTGAATCGTGTGCGCTCTGTCTGTAGCAGTCGGCAACTCAGGATTGCTTGTGATTAATCTGAACCAACAGAAGGTTGTCAAATGGGACTGTTTTTTATTGCCAATTGCTGTCTGCACAGACACACACTTGTTCTCGCGCTCAGCACACACACACACACTTTATGATTACATCAGGCCGGACCAGCTCGTTTATCATCTTACATCACATTACCTTGTGGCCCATAGTTGTAAAGAGCAGATGGCAGCACTGGCGAGAGTGTGTGTGTGTTTGTCTGCGTGCACGTGTCTGTGTGTGTACATGCCCGCGCTCGGTCTCAGGAGGTGTAACCTGGCTCCACGCGCCAAGCTCTGCCAAGTGCTCACAGCTGGCAGCGACCAAGCAGTCGGTCTCTCTGGACAAGTTACCCCCTGCGCCAGGACAAACAGGAAATAAACCCTGGGGCCTGGCAGAAAGCAGGCTCCATGGCCAATAGGATGAAAGGTGAAGAAGAGTGGTGCAGGGCTGGGGGGGCTGGTTAAGGTGTGGATGGTTGGAGAGGCTGGGTAGGAATAGCAACAGAGGAGATGTCAAATGGCTGTGTAGAAGTGGAGGGAACAAGGGAGGAGGGAGAATCGAGGGGGAAAGCATTGATGTAGCAATGGAGAGATCAAGAGACTTTCAGAGCAAAGTCGAGGTGTAAAAAGTGAAAGGACGCTTTTATTGATGTGGGAGAGGAGACATGAGAGGAGACAACAAGTGGCAGAGCTGAAACTGTGTCAAGAAAATGAGAGTTTGCTCTAAACTTTGTTGGAGAAAATTTTGATTCATAAATTAAACATTTCCCTCTGTATCTATTAATGATGCGTCAATCCGATATTGACAGATGTTTGTCCAACACATGCATTGGATATTGGTGACCGTAGGGCAGATCTATTTATTTCAATTCTGTTACTCTATGTTTATGTCTATCATGCTGGTAGAGACCTAATATAGAACAGTGTGAGCTAAAAACAAAGGTTTTCACACAATATGGTAGCATGTTGAGTGGCTACATGAAGCATCTGCAAAATCAGTGTTTTTATTAGTTGGTGCAGATCCCAATTCAAATCTTTATCAAGTGGATTTAAATCTAGTTTCATTGGGGGTAGAATTTTTTTTGCCTCAGTATGATAAAAAAAATGGGGCTAGAAACTGTAACTACCTCCAATGTGTTGCTGAGTTTCTATGTATCCTCAATAGTTTTAGAATTAAGTGTCAGGCCTGGAGGAGGTATGTCACGAAGTTAGGAAAGCAGTATTTAAGCCTGATGTTGCATTACACATAAAATAATGATCCCTGTCTCTTCCGGTGAGGCTTACAGCTTCTTTATCAAACACAAAATGAAATGTCCATTATTGTCTGCAGCTATCGGCCAACGCCCAAGTATTTCTATCGTTGTCTCGTACGGTATCTTTTACTTCTAGATTGTTTTTTCTGTCACATCAGGACCAAACATGAAAGAAATTTTATGATTCTTACTTTCAGCATCTAAGTTCCTCCTTTGCAATCAGTTACTGTTGTGTGCTTGTTTCTGTGTGTGGGTGCAGAGTTGTGTGCATGTATGTGGCGCTCCTTGGCTCGTCCCCCTAAGTCTGTGGTCTGTTTGTGCAGCTCTCTTCTGCCAGTTAGCGGACAAAATGCCCATCTTTGATTGTGTAGGAGTTTGTGTGTGCGTCTTATGACAGTTGGCCATATCAAACAAGGTATTCTACCATGGTGAGTTTTTGCATCTGACCCGCTGCCTCGAAAAGCCAGAGAATATTATTTGGCAAAAGATTATTTTGGAGGAACATCTCATACCGAGCCAAAGCCACTGAGACTCCGGATCTCTGATGCGAGGGATCACTGAAGCCTGAACTTCCAGAAATTCCCCAGCTTCTTATTTGTGAAGGATTTCTGCATGGATCATGTCCCAGACACGTATTGTCAGCTGGTCCTTGGAGTGGAGGCAGAGCTCCAGAAGTAATTACCAAGAGAATTATTGTGAAGGAATTGCTACTGAGGCATGGATCCTATGAAAGTAATTAGCAATTTCTTCTTCTGAAGGCAGGTCAACTGAGACACAAAGTGTGGTGAATTTTAAAGGCGGTCGACCTTATGCAGCTTGTTTTTTTATGTTGGATAGTGGCTTCAGTTTGCTAAATCATCAGACATTCAGCACAGGGCTTTTGACTCTTTCATCCCCTAAATGGTCAACAGCGAGCAACTACCTGGCCATGAAAATGACTAATAACGTGAGCATTCATCCGTTTACAGCTGGTCATCGGTGTTTGCGTCAGGGCCACTAGCGATCACAGGGTGCACCGTTGCCTTGTGATCCAGTCACTGCCGCTATGGCCTCTCCACCTCTTACCCCACCCCTCTCTTGTGTGTCCTTGTTATTGTGATGAGCTATGCCCAATTCCTGCACGACCACTGGACTCCAGGAAAGCAGCTGTCCCTTCTAATCTGTTCCAGAGTCAAGGTCTAGGTTTGGAACCGTGCCCGACAGCAAGGCTTTGGCTGTGACAAAGACTGATTTGAGACTTTAGGATCCTCTGGGTCTTCCAGAACACCAGCGCGATGGCACACTCACCACCTTGTTAATCAGCAGTGACACCACACGAATTGCCAGTCAGTCTGTTTACAACTAATCTTTTCAACTTCAAATTTAATGCCTGGAGCCACTGCTTCCCACAGAGAGACGCCTGCATTCAGGTACTGTCATTGTCTCCTGCAACACTATAAGGGAGATATCAAATTAAATACTGGCTTCAAATTGGTCAGATGGTGGCATCTTTTGTTTCTGCACTGTTATAACAGCTGCTCCAACACTACAATTACTCCAGTCAATTGTAGCTGAGGTCAAGGATGAGAGATACTGTGAGTTTTCATCCTATCAGCTGTCCCGCACTTAAATTTTTGGTGGCTGACCTCTTCCTCTGCTTCCTCACAGAATATGTTTTCACTTCTTACTGCAGACTCGATAGCATTCCAAGAATTGGATTTCATTAGATTATATCGCTGTACATTTGCACTAGTAATGGCTGTTATGTGTAGCCTGCAGCTTTATTACATTTTCCTTTTCTGCACTGCTTGTGGTTAGAATGAACCACACTGATGTGTAATCACAATGCAGCCCCTGACCACTTCCATATCTGGTATTAAACATCTGGTGGCTTTGTGAACAAAATTAGATTTTTGTGCGTCTGGACACCTTGTTCAGTCGCGGGTGTGATAGTGCGGAAGGTGTCACCGAAATGAAGGAACTGTAGCCCCTCTGTTGCTGCCCACTCTCACCTGACTTCAAGCGAGATAAGACAACGATGAGAGTGCGCATACACACTCACGCACACAAGCAGACACTTAGCCTCGGACTGAGCATGCTCATTACAACTTTGACAACATTCTGCTGGGGTTGCCAAGGATACTGAGCAGCGCCGGATTGTGTGCGTGTGAGCGTGTATTAGAATTGCACAAACTCACACAAATGCATACATACAAACGCAACACTGAATGTTTGCTTATGAGACCACACACACATACGCAGCTATCCTTATTGCTGTTTATTGTGGACGCCTAAACAAAAAAAGTACACACACGTGCAGTGCACTTTCTTTTCCTCTGTTTCTATCTGGCTTCTCTTTCTCTCTTCCTCTCCATCTCTCTTTTTTTCTTTCTCTCTCTAGATCATTGTTTATCAGTCTCGTCCCATCTCCTCTCCACTGGCTGTCAGTGGCTTGTCAGAAGCCCGTCAAAACCCCTGCAGTCAGTCACACACTGCTGCCATTAATGACATCTGATGACACCCGTCGCTGAAGTCGCCCGCTGGAGATGACTGGGGACTCGGTGTGCTCACTGCTTGGAGATTGTTTCCTCTGTGCAGTCTGCAGTGTGTTTTTAGGAAACGTCTGATACGTCTTTAGCATATCAACCAACCAACTGGCCGCTCGACTGGGAGAATGTAGCCTCTGCTGAGACCTTGTAACGTTTTCTCGATGTTTGAAGCAGCCATGAAAGAACACTCTTTTTAAAAGAGGATAATAATTCACCTGCTCTATTATAACTGCCATTTATTTTCTTCCCACATGCCGCTACACTCCTTCTATCACTTTCATTCCTGTGCTTCAACCTTTCAGTGGTTTCATTCCTTTCTATGCATCTCTTTCATAATCCTCCCTTAACTGTTTCCTGCCCACACTCCCCATTGAATTTGTCCTCACCTAAACACCGCTGACTTCCTTGTTCTCCTGTCTAAATAGTGGGCTTGTGATGGAGCCCCTGCCGTGCCAGTATGGCTTGAAGTGTCTCTCTCTCTCTCTCTCTCTCTCTCTCTCTCTCTCTCTCTCTCTCTCTCTCTCTCTCTCTCTCTCTCTCNTCTCTCTCTCTCCTTTTACCCTTTTTTTTTTTACTTTTTCCTCTCCCTTTTTCTTACACTTGTCTTGCAGTTTCTCATAGTCTGTCTCCTGTGCTTCTCATTTTTTACCATCTCTGTTCTCCTCTCTCTCTTCTCCTAGAGGAGGAAGTGGAAAACTTTGATGTGTCCAGTCTCCAGGAAGAGGCTCTGAGGAACATTGAGGCTGACAGCTTCTGGTGCATGAGCAAACTACTGGACGGCATCCAGGTAAGCATGAGTGTACATGAGAAATTGGCTGTCTGCAAATTAACTTTGATCAATATGCACACATACACTTTTATACTTAAAACTTGCAGTAGATGCTTAGTCTCCTGCTGACTCCCTTTTTTGTGTAGTCTGTCCTCCCACTGTTTTTCCTGTGCATTTCCTTTACTCACTTTTTTCACTTGACGTCCTGCACAAATTAAGGTTTTTCTAATCCAGACTCAACAGACATAAATGTTCCTTTTGAAGGTGCTTTCACAGAAATGAAGCAGCCAATGGCGACAATCCCCAGAACAAACTCCTAGCAACAAATCTTTTTGCAGTATGAGGTTGTTACAGGAGGCTAGAGCTGCAGCCATTAATTTGTTAAGTGAAAGACAGAAAATAATCCAAAACTATTACATTTTCTTCTCTCATGTACCACTTTTACACCAACATTTGTGGTTGTTTGCAGGTTTTTTCAATGCGGGTAAACCGGCTTAGAAAAAGAACTCTTTTCCCATTACCAATAGAGGGGTTTGCCTTTATGTTCTTGTTTCCCATTGAGACATGTTCGATAACACAAAGGAACCAAAGAGCAGAAGCTTTTTAAAGCTGCACTCTGGGGTGTAAATTCTCAGTGGTATTAGCAGCACTATACAGGAACTCATGTGATTCACTATTTGGCCCATTACACTTGTTTTTGCTTAGATTAATGGTCAACTACATTAATGGTTTCTTCATAAATCAAAGCATTAGCTGTTATATGTACAAGGACCTGTCATACAAATGTCTGGTGGCCAACTTATTTTCTATTTCCCTCGCTGCGTTTCCACTAGAGGAACCAATGTTTAAATCAAGGGCACATACCCAGGTCTGATCAACCTGTGGTGGGCCTTAAAAGAGAGTGTCTTGCGATTGTGGAAATATAAGACACACACTTAACTCAAGGTTCCTCTGCACTCAGCTGAAAAGAGACACACATGACTTCAAGTGACTTTGTGGATCCTGTTGCTTACAGTTTGAATGCAGGGTAACACCTGCAGGGCAATCCACTGTGTTTCTTCAATCAAAGTCATCTGCACTGGCAAGGCCACACACCCAGGTGCTTGTTTGCATGCTTGGGTGCATGCTGTGCATTTATTTGGGCTGAACTCGACTAAAAATGTTATCGGATTAATCAGATTTGGCTGTTCAATGCAAATATTCAATACTTGCAATGCTTTATTTTCAGTCTGACATTTTGAAGAGGGTCTGTATGGACGTTCACTGTAACGGCAACATTCATGAACTATAATAACCACGCCTAGTTATCCCTCAAAGTGAATGTGTGCCAGCGATACTGATGGTTCAGAATTGTGCCAAAAAATGTTCTTGCCAATATTAGATATCAAACAAAAGACAGACTAAATGGTATAAAGTTAATCTCTCAGACTCAGCGTGGGTGCGGATCCACAGCTGCCTGTACATGTCACAAACATCTTCACCAAGCTGACAGGAAGACTTGATGTAATGGAATGATGTTACGCTGGAAAGCAGCGTGAAAAAGAGAAGTGCTCACACTGCAGCTACTTAAGGGGACTGAAATATCGCCACGTTCTACCTGTCTGCTGAGAATGTTACTGGCCCACCGATGTAGCTGGATTTCTCCTGATGCTCCTGAAACCTGGGACAGACGGGTCTATTGTCAAAGTGTTTGAGACAGAGATAGTGTGACATAGGGGCAAGCAGGGGTTGATGGCATCAATGTGCTGCATAAAACACTACATCAGATATCCTTTATGTTATTTGTGTGAGGGTAAGTGTAAATATTACATTTTTAAATATTACTCTCCTTAATGTGCCTGTTTTCTTCATCAAGAGCCATGCCGTGGGATGATGGGGAAATCTGATATACATTTAAGCTAAGTTTCATTGTCTGTGAAGGTGAAATTTAATAAACAATATTTTGGACCTTCTTTGCCAAACAGCTGTGCTTTGCCACTGATGAGAGTTTTTAATGCACAGGTACAATATAGGTTGTGTTGTTGCTTGCTATATTGTGTGTCAGCATGAAATACCACTACAGATAATTAATTGTATGAACAGGGTTTAATGCTACAGTGTTTGGGTGGTCTGACATTCTTGCAAGAGCTTTCTAAGGGTGTAAGCGTTATGTATGAAAGAGCTTTTCTTTGTGGGTTTAAGGAATATGATTGTCTTGCATATTCTGAAGCAGGGCAGAGTGTCTGGAGACCAGATAATTGAACGCAGACGGCAGCACCAAACTTCATTTTGTTTCATCATTTCTTCCCAAACCCTTTTTCATAAACGACCTCGCTCTCAGCGGTCATGGTTGAGCCATCTGTCAATTTTAAACGTGTCTGTCTGGACTAGCAGTGGATTTGCCCTGAACAGTACCACTGCTGCATTACATCCTCAATTGTACCTTTATTATAAGATTTATTACTATAACCGAACACTGGATTAAAGCAGAAAAAGAGCAATAGAAGAGACTTGCTGATGCACTTTATTTTTCATTATAAGACATCAACATGTTTGACATTTTTGACTCACTCATATTATGTAAGATTTATGTACTCTGACCATGTTTTTAGTACAGCTATACTCTAATCATTTTCTGGCACAGTTTAAAAAGCATGTGCCAGGTTTTTGCAGTCAGGTCAATGACCCTAATCTAAAATAACACTTAGGAGATTGGCCACAGCAGTTAGTCTTTAAATGTATTGATTGGGCAATATGTTTATTGTTGTATGGAAATCAGGGGTAAAAGAAACATCCTCAATCTCAGTGGTAAAGTGACGTTTTGGTGAGAAAAAATTGAATTAGGTATATCATCATCTGTGCACGTCAGCGTATTAAAATATACTTAGGATCGCCTCGCCCTACACTGAAAGTAATTAATTATATGTGGCATGTGTTGTGCATTAAGATGTGAGCATCAATAAATAACTATCAATTGGTTGGCCATTAATTTAAGAAATTAATAGATGCTGTGCCTTGTTGCCCCTCAGAGAGCAAGACAGGAAGACAGCCGAGTTGAGAGATGAGCCGAGAATAGTGTGTCTTTGTGTGTGCTTTTGTTTGTGTACGTATGTTTATTCCCATGCTTGCTTGTTTGTGACCTTGGCCTCAAACTAATTATGTGCAATGCACCAGGGATGCACATGTTTCCACCCCCAATTGCTTTCTAAACAATCTGACAGAGGCTGAGTGACTCAGCTCAGTTATTTGCTGGTGATCTTTGCTCTGATCGCCTCTCAAACCCTCTCATATACACTGCACACAGTTGCACTTAACTGAGAGCCTGAAGATGAGGGTCCAGCAGGGTAGAGAGAGGAAGATTCTGTCCGAGCAGTTTAATTTGCTCACCACCTTTTTTAAGCACCATATATATATCCAGCATTTCCTCTGATAATGGTGCCACACTGGTGACCACTTGTCTCAAACAAGTGGATGTAAAATATTTAATTGCATCACAGTGCGGAAACAAACTCAAATGGGAGTTTTGAAAACCACTCATGTACCACGGTTGAGAAAAGACAGACTTACTCTTTGTCATCCATCCATAAACCACAACTACTGTGCTGTTCTTGTAGTTTGATATAATTACCTGGTGTAAAGTGGATATACTTTTGGAAAGTTTTTTCTTTTAGATTTTTTTAATACAGTAAATTGGTCATTAGCTCAGTTTTTGGTGTTTCACCACCATTTTTCCCACCTAAAACGGAACAGGCTATTTTTGCTGTCAATTCACTTCTAGCTTCTCTAATGAGCAGCTGCTTAAATCAGCAACACTGCAGCCCCCGTCTCCATAGGAGCAGGCTGGGATAAAATGTGCGTTAGAAAGAGCCAGACAGCGCTAATGTCTATGTGGACAATATTAGAATGACTTATCAGAATGAACTTTTTTGTTTCAGACAACTTGACTTGTTCGTCTACATATTTAAAAAGCTCTCAAATGAAGGGAATAGTCCTTGGATGCCCTCTTTAATGGTAGGGGACTGTTAGTGCAACATTTTTTGTTATTTATTATTTATGGAAATTAAAGCCGCAGCTTTAGCCGACAGTGAGTGACAGTTTCAGGAGTAAATGAACAAGCCTTAAGGCAGTAGTAAATGTATGAGTGCTGATCTGTGCGTGCAGTATATGTATTGTTATGCCACGCGGGTGACAGCCAGTGGCCAGAGACACGATATTACAAGAACGCTTTGAGGGAATTTCTTCAAATTTTACACAAAGTGTTACTTTAACTCAACAAATGAACTTGTTAGAATTTGGTGATAAAAGGCCATGGTGAGTGTGACCACACAAAATCTGTTTTTGGCCTGTTTAAGTCCACCTTTAATGAATTTCTTAAAAGTTTGGACTTGAAGCTTAATGGATTAAATTTCGGTGGTCAAAGGTCGAAGATAAGTGACCTCGAGTCTGGAAAAAAAACAATATGTAGACTGAACCTGCACTGCTAGGGGAAGGCCTACAATCACAGTGTGGTAATTCTAGTTTACAGCAGTATCAACAACGTAACAGCACACATCTCTCCACTGCCTATTTACACATCAGGCTGGCTTCGGTAGCCACATCTGGTCCAGACATGATTTAAAAAAAAACATGACTGAACTACCTTAGCCACTAATCGAGGAGGGGGGCCATGTTAGTCATGTTCAAATAGGCTAGTGTTTATTACTGTCCATGATTAGCTGCTCGTGCAACACATCCAAGTGCTTTTAAGCGTGACCCTACTGCTAAACTGAGGCAGGAATTTGAATTTGAATGACAGCTAAACATATAATTAACAGCCAAAAAAGGGCAAATGGAGCGTCCACAAATTGGCACATTTACCCGTTTAAGACACAGCTCTGTAAAGTTGACCCCAGTGTTACCTCAGTCTCTCCGGCTGCTGATTAGTCTTGTACCGTGCAAAATTTGACAGTGCCTGTGGCTAACGTGACTTGTGTAACTTGTTCAAATGGGTCCATATCTGCCGTTTCAATGATTTTTGTGGATTTGTCATCTCTGCCAAA